ACTTCAATTGATGAATAACTTCATTTAATGAAAAGCAACAACTCAAAGAAAACAATGTTTGTGCGCTGAAACTGGATATAATGAAGGCATATGACCAGTTGGAGTGGAACTACCTTCAGGAAATAATGACCAAGCTGGAGTTTGCACCAATTTGGTTTTCTTCGGTTATGTGTTTGATGAGCTCTTTAAAAATTTATGGTATGTTTAATGGAAAGATGCTCGAGGAGTTCAAACCTATGAAGGAAATTCCTTAAGGAGACCCGATTTTGCCTAACCTCTTCTTGTTGACACTAGAGGGCCTTTCGTCCCTCTTAAAAAAATCACTCGATCATCGATTGTGAGTGGGATTAAAGTGGCAGAATCGGGACCACCAGCGAGTCACTTACTTTTCGCGAATGACAGCCTGATGTTCGTCAAGGCTGGGGGTGATGGTGCAACTTTGGTATCCTCTTTGTTGGAGACATATTGTCGGGCGGGGGAGGGGGGGGGATCTTTCCAAGTCTTCGAGTTTTTTGAGTAAAGGGTGCCCTCAAGTGGTTAGGGATGAGATGAAGGCTATTCTCAACGTCCACAATAAAAGTTTATCGGAGAAGGTACTTGGGGATGCCTACTGATGTAGGTACTGGCAAAATGGAGCTTTCAAGTATCTTAAAAAGAAGGTTTGGAATAAGGTAACATGTTTGATGAACAAAATTCTTTCTTCCGGACAAGAAGATATGCTTAACAAATTTGTGGCGCAGGCGATACCAGTCTACTCTGTCTTGCTTTAAACTACTGCGTGGACCCTAACTTCAAATAAACTCTATCAATAGGAAGCTGTAGCGGGGTAGTAGGCGTGAGTTAAGGAAGATGAGTTGGGTGTCATGGGAGGTTATGGCATGACCAAAATACCAAGGGTGCTAGGTTTCAGAGATATAGGGGTATTTAATTTGGTCATGTTGGCAAGGCAAGCATGGCGGATCTTGCAAGCTCCCGACACTTTAAGCGCAAACAATCTGAAAGCAAGCTATTATCCTAATACTGTTTTTTTTTTGAAAGCTCAACTTGGTGGCCATCTTTCGCAGATTTGGAGGGAAATAGTGAAGTCACTTGATCTATTCGATTTTGAGAACTAGACTCCTTTGTTTGATCATGGTAAGACAATGTTCCTGTCTCATTGTGTCTGCCCTACAAGAGTAAGTTTCCCATACATAGTCCTATTCGATTTGATAACTGGGCGATCGTGCTGCGCCGAGCTGCCTACAGATCAGCGTCATCCTCGTCTGATTTGCTAGATGGCTCGCCATTGACAGCGACAAGCTCTGTGTCGAATATGAGAGTTGCTCCGCCTGCAAGAGAAAAACAGGACTCATATCAGAAATCTGCAAGAAAAACAGTTGCCTACTAGCAAGAGAGCGTAAAATGGTATACCTGGAATGGTAGGTGGCGATCCCTGATCCCCATAGCCGAGCTTTGAAGGGATCTTCAGCTTCCTCTTCTCACCAATGCACATGCCCAAAATTCCCTGGTCCCATCCTACAGAGTGAAGTATAGACATTCAGACACAGAAACAAATTGTAAATGAAGAAATTACTAGTTATCCAATGAGCTGTTTTCACAATTACCTTTGATCACTTGACCAGTGCCCAATTCAAATTCAATCGGGTCACCCCTTTCATAGCTAGAATCAAAAACTGTTCCATCGGTAAGTGTTCCCTGGTGATAGAATAGACATGATTCAGAAATGAATTCCTATATCATGTAGCATCAAAACCTCTTGAAGTACACCTATGGAATGGTTGAATTAACATATTCTAGCATAAGTTCTAACTATCTTTACATTGGATCAAAAAGATGTCTTGTAGCTTCCTCAAAGCAAATTCACATTTTATTTTTTCAATATCATACATATTGCAGTAGATAAAATCCTTAGGGGAGTACTGAAGGACTAAGTTCTCTTTTCTTCTTTTACGGAATGAAGGGGTAAGTTAAGGCATACTAGTTAGAGTGAAATGAAGGGGAAAGAAAAGAGGACAATAAAGTTATCTAATGCCACAATAAAAGAGAAACTCAAGTCAGAACTCTCCATGACAAATTGCCATGGCTTATATATTGCAAAAATAAACAACAGATCCAGGTCACCCAGCAGAATATTGAACTTACACGGTAGTGAACTTTAACTCTGTCACCTTTGTGAGCCGAGATGCTGCACGATTCTGGCTTGTACTGAAAATTTTAACATGGGCATAATAATAAGATAAGAGGCATAATAACTGAATTCCGGAAATGAAGATAGCAAATGGTGTTGCCTATGCTCTATTGCTTTCTTATAAAAAAAGCAGGGCCATACAGCCTTTTCTCTAAATTTATCTATGCTCTATTGCAGTTCAGCTTGAAATCCAGTATCCATGTAACTACTGTTTGTTTCATTAGTAGCAATTATTTTCTTTGAACTATCTCGATCCATAACAACGTATCTTTAAGATCAGTACTGCACCAAATTCTGGATGATGATTTTCACAAGAAGGCTTTGTTAATACTTATAAGATCAGTATACTGCGCCAAATTGTGGATGATGCTTCTCGGAACATGGGTTTTGAAATATACTTTGAGGCAATTCACTTCAGCTTGGTCCGCTAGCATATTCAGTTTTTGAAAAGCAGAAATGTTTGCTCTACACGCTTACGGATTCAGGTCACCGGTTGTGCCAAACCTTTGATATGTTAACAAGCTACTAAACTAAACCAAAATGGTGATCCGTCACCTCCAAGTCCACACTGTAAATCTCGAGTTGTGTGAACATCAGCCACACCAAGACAGTTCGTTTCTGAAAATTGGATCCCTCCAGAATGTTATCCGACGGGATCTACTCTAACACAATTCGCGCATACTAGGCCTCAGATCCGACGAAATCCACGGTCGCACAGCATCTAATCTATTTTCCTCAGGCTGAATCGATCCACCCGACGAGACGCGCAGTAGGAAGACACACAATTTCGAACGCGCGCAGGCGGAATCCATTGATGGCACCAGAGCCGAGAGCCCGAGGGGCGAGGGCACGTACCTTGACGCCGATCTGGAGCGCCGAGACGTCGCCGGACTTCTTGGCGGAGGCTGCAGGGAAGGAGCCAGATCGGATCAGACATCAGAGTGTGCCGCGTAGGGATGGGGGCGCGCGGGGCGTGATATGGATCGAGGGTACGGCGGGCGGGCGGGGTCGCTTACCGACGAGCAGGAGCGCGGTGGCGGCGACCAGCAGGAAGAGAAGAAGCCGCGGCTTCGCCATGGATGCAGCTGGGGTTTGTTCGGGGGAGAGAGGAGTATTTTTTGCCGAACTCGTGAGGGGTTGCGTTTATAGAGGAGCAGTGGCAGTGCCAACTACCAGTAGTATCTGGGTTGGGTTGGACTTGACCAAACTGACTCGTATTTTTCATATACAAAAAATAAAATAGATAAAGTTTATTTTGTTTTCATTTATTTTCAGATCGTAAGTAGATATAGTTTATTAATGGCTAGCATGCAATTGATATTGTATAATAATCTTACTCTGATACTACAATCGTCCAATCCAATGCATTTCTTTTTTGCGAATTAATTCAATGCATTTGATATCCAATCTAAACAGATGTGTAATATAAAAAAATCAAAAAGAAGGATTACCCCTGATATTTGCATGAAATGATGCACACAGCTATTTTATACAGTATCTCTACTCCTAATGGAGCAGTTGGTAGTCTCGCTTCCAGGTTTTTTTTCGTCCCACCTACCATGGTTTTTTTTCAACCGGTTTTTTTCATCACACCATCCCCACCCCTACCCCACCCCATTCACCGCACGCAGTTAGGTTCCGTTTCCCCCCTTACGTCCCCGATTCATGCATGACAATCAATTCTTTCCAAACGCAATCATGCATGATAATCAATTCTTTTCAAACGCAATCAATTACTTAAGGTAACCAGACACAATCAATTCAATAAAACGGAGCGATATCTCGGGCGATTTTCTTGCTCCCGATATATAATGGTGCTAGCCAATCTGTTAACAAATGAGAAGGAAACAATCACGTGTATGTAGGGAAGATAATCGTGGAGATTGCAGGGCAGTTAAGGCCGTGCGTCACATGCAGGAAGGATTTCCCGAGTTCAGCGAAAGAGAAGGAAATCTGAGTTGGTGAATAGTCTCCACGATTTATTTTCGTCTGGCTTTTTTCGTCTGGTTTTTCTTCGTCCCACCTCCCACCACCACCCTCTCACCGGTTTTCCTCTTTTCTCGTCTAACCGGCAACACCCAATGTATTTATGGTAATCAATCACAATTAATCCACGTATGGTAAGGCTATAAACTCAGAAATCTCAAATATGATTATTATAGTAATAAATCAATCCAGTTTGATAAGGTCATAACTCAGGAAATTCCGAATATGGTAATTATATGGCAATAAATCAATCCAGGTATGGTAAGGCTATAAATATAAAGGAAAACTATTCCTGTGAGACGTCTAATACATGGCTTTCGTCAGACCAGCATCTCACCAATCGTTTTGGAGCCATGCATCCAACAACGCCTGGCTGTACTATATAACCCCTCCGAATCATCCTCACATCCACCATCAAACCCTAATCAACTACCTCGCCACCCTCTCTGCCACACCTGCCATCTGGATCCTCCTCGCTTCAACCTCGCTCTTATCGCACCACCGCATCTACGTTCGACCAGCAAGTCCTCCGGCAAGAACGCACACACCATGTCGCCTTGATGGCTAAGCATGTGCATGTGTGCTTCATGCCCCCACAACGCTCCTTGTGATCCGTTCGTCGCGCTGCATCCCCAATCTGGCCGGTGTGGCACTGTAATTTCGTCGGTGTGCAGACCTTCGTTTCCTCTGCTACTCCTCGTCAGACATTTTGTAGTTGCTGCTTGAAGTGGTATGGTCGTGCTCTGCTCGTTGAAGCCTGTAATTGGGGCTGCATGCTATAGACTCATGAGGTCCCTTTTCAATGTGGCTGCGTGGTAGCGATGCTCTCATGCGTGCTACGTCGGCTGTGCTCCAGCGGTCTTGCATTTGGCCGGGTTGAAGGATACCATATGTGTAGTAGCCACACGTGATTCAGATTTTGTTCACATTGGAAGTACAAGTGATTGTTGTTGGAAACAAATTTCCACCCTTTTGGAAGCATAATTTTCTTCGGTCAAAATGTATATGTAGAATTATTGGTATACTTTCTACCTGCAATTCAATTACCTATCAATGGTGTATCCAACATTGCTCTATTTTTCTTCCTACACATAAGAAAAATGCTTCTGTAATGTATGATGCAACTTCCACCAAATCGAGATGCTTCTACACCATTGAACAGAGTTTCGGTTACCATTTTTGTTCCGAAGCATCAAATGGTGAGCCATGAAGCTTTATTAAACATGTAAGGAAGCATGTGTCATTTTGTGTTTTTCATATCAAAGCATCAATGAAAGGGCAATGAAGCAACTAAATGCCACATGGAAGGATCGCCACATGGAATTTGTTAACAGCTTATGGTAATATTATTAGTGGCATCTGCATATTTTCAATACGTATTTGAGAACCTATTTGATGCTTCCTGATTTCTATCGCATGAAAAATGCTTCCTTTGAAACAACCGGGGAGCAATTTGTTACCAGAGATAATGCTTCCATTGAAACAACCGAGGAGCGATTTGTTACTAGAAATAAAACGTGATTTATAGGATTTATTATATCCTACTAGAAATCAGGGATCAGTTTCCTAAAATGTTGGATGCGTCAACATTTGTAACTGTGCCCCTGATTAAGGAACATACTAATGCCCAAGCCACGTTTACAAGCCCATCACACGTATCGACATGAAATCCATCGTACAAGGAATCAGATTCCTAGCGCTTCCTCTTAAACAAACTTAAATTACCCCAAAGGCCGGCCAGATTAACATACACAGAAAAATCAACACCCTATGATCTGTCATCCAATTTTTCCTCCACGGTCGGCCATCCTATTCAAGGCCCCTGATGCAATGTTCTGCCAGCAATCCATGCGCACGTCCTACCTAGCGATTGAACGGGATCAAAATCTCCCTAGCCAAACACCGGTTGCCGCTGCACTTACATACTCCGCCCACGACGCCGTCCCACCAGCGGCGGTGACGCTAGCGATCGTACCGATACGTCATGGGAGATGGAGCTCCAGGCCATCAAGGACTCCTACACTGGCGTGTCCAAGCCGCCTCCACGATGGAGCCAAACCGCCGTACCTATTCGGACTCAAGAACATGGTGCGCCTCGCCGGTATGGATCATCTCGCCTCCCACTTGCCAAGGTATAGCAGCCCTCTTCTTTTCCCTTTCCCAAGAACACATCGATGCACTTTTAACCTCTATAATCCATCTACCTGATGTACTTGTGTGTCGCTCGCCGGGAAACAAACTACTTGGTGAATCCCTGATGCAAACAATTTTATTCAGTGCTAACTAGGAGCTATTGTCTGCATGTGCATCAGGTAATACAAGTAGTTGTACGGGGTTCATAAAGGAATCGAGCTTCTCATCTTTGACGATTAACGGATGAGGCACGGGGTACACATGACGGATCTACGAACTACAGCTGACAACACATGGACGGCCAAAGGATGTTGCATCCGCCGACCAACCACTACCCTTAATCAAGCACAAGGTACCTAGAACAACTCCCAAACACTCAATTCTTTGTAAGATTTTCAGTAGAAGCCTGTTGCAAAGTCAGGAATTTAGTTTATTTAATTATTAGTCAATGTTTGCCACAAAAAAATTCAGATTTTTTTTATCATTTTCTAAATTTAACTATTCATGCTGAGATCATATGAGGTCAAACTAAGATGGGGGCTTTTGAACACTTTTTTCATGAATTCAAATGACATGCACATACAGGTGATGTTGTTCTGAACATTTTGATATCTTATTTGTATTTGTTGGAGTTAGTATGAATTCATTATGAAATTTTCAAAGTTTCGGTCAAACGGTGAAAGGGCAAAAGTATAAGAGGATGGAACAAGCTGGACAGAAACGAGGGTTTTTTGAATTTTGGGGCAAATCAAACAGGTGTGACACAACTAAGGGCTCAAATGTAGTTGTCCCTAAAAAATATATATTAGACAAAATTAATGTTGAATACTAGAATATATATGCCCGTTTAGCAATGCACGGGCAACACACAACAAAGGTGAGGTGGGCGTCACCCGTTTCTAAAAGAAAGGGCTCCAGCTAGCGAGAAATATCCCGCTGCAGTCGGAAGCCGTGCGGGAAAGATAGGGTCCGACATAAAAAGGAGAAGGGTGTGTCATGGGATAGGTTTTTGTGTTCGGCCTGTGTATTGGAGATATATAGCATGGCCCATAGTCCGGACAATCACATTTCTCCCCACATATGATCTGGATTGGGGGATCTCCGACTGTCTAGATGGTTGAATTTCGAGGAGCCTCAAACACGCCATAATGTATGAGGGAGAAATAAGCTTCGACCTTAGAGGTGACCTTAATCATTTGTTTGATTCATTTATGTATGCATTATAGCCCGTAGCAACGCACGGGCGTTCTACTAGTTAAATAAATAAAGTAGCAAAGTAGTACAAAATTCATCTCAGATTCACAAGCAAGTTCAAAACAAAAGAATAAAATATCAATTTTGCTAAAGTAGATCTAGATGTGTTATAAGTATTGCATGTCTAAGTCCTACGTCATTGATCTATTGATCTTACGTGAAGATTCGTGTGATTATTTTCTTTTTCCTTTTTCTTTTCCTTCTTATGCTTGATTGTGTTACTTAGATGTGCAATAACTAGGGCACATCTAGATGTAGACAAACCCATAAAAATATAGCACCATGCTCAAATATGTTGGAGCCAAGGCAACTTGGGCCAGAGAACCAAGGCAACTCGGGCTAGAAAGACGAGCTGATGAACCTAGCCAGCGGCCGTGCAGGACCGAAGCCACATCCAAATGCAAATGAGACCAAACAACATACGTACCACAAAGTCAGGTGGCGATACATCGATACATCAAAATCGCACTGATCCAAAGCATCTGAACAACGACATATTTCGGCAATCAGGTGAGATACCAGACCATCTTAACTTCAGTGATTATCTACACGTACATGACAGTAGTTCGGGTGGCATATGTTTGCAAGACATAAGCTTATCCAATATCCAGTCCTCACGCAAATATACTAAAAAGGGTGCCACGGATTCAAACAAGATGCGCATGGCGTGTGTAGAAAGAAGATCGTAGCTGAGGAAGAATGAATGGCAGCATCAGTGCACGGAGTGGCAGCAGATGAAGGGCATCCACGGCTGCTTCCTCACTTTGGACCTCTTGTCGACGTTGTTGTTGTCGTGGGGCATATTCGCGGGGGAATTCCAGTACTGGTCGTCCGAACCGGCTGCCCCTGGCTTCGCCGATGAGGCGTCGTCCTTCGACGCTCCTCGCCGTGTGAATGACAGGACCCGCTCCTTGGTGCTGGGTTTCTTCTCTTTGCCCTCCAGGCTCGCCTCAGCAAGGAGGACCTTCAAGGGGACGCTGATCCTTGCTGAATTCAGCCTCGAGCCGATAGCGGCGATCTCTCCATTCTGCTTGTTTCCCTCCAGTCTGACTGTTCCTTCACCCTGCTTCTGCTCTTCAGCATGATCCCTGCTTTGCATGGCGTTCGTCTCCTTTGCACTAGCTTCTGGAGCCGGCTTCTTTTCTTCGGCACTATCTGTCTGTTGCACCTCATCTGTCTCCTCTTCTTTGCTCGTCTCATCGGTCTGCCTGTTATCAACATCAGCTGTATTAAATTCCCTGTCCATCTCCTTTGCACTACCGTCTTCAGTCTGATCTTTTTCATGAATATTTTCTGTGCTTTGTACTGCAGTCACTTCATTTGAACCAGTATCCTCAGCCAGTTTATCCTCTTCGACATTATCTGAGTGCAGTACTGCAGTCATCTCCTTCACGCTAGCATCTTGAGTCTGTTTCTTTTCTTCTGAGTCATCTATATTCTCTACCAGAGGCTCATCTTTTGCTTTGGTGTCTTCCGTGCCAGTCTTTTCTTCAACATGTGTGCTGACTGCATTGGTCTCCTGAGAGACAGGCATTGTGCCAAATTCTGTCGGAAATACTTGAGATCGTGCATCGATGATGCCATTTGTATGCGATTCACCTTCCTTCTTGTCATGGTTCACCGAGGCATCATGCAAGAAAATGTTCTTCAGAGGATCTGCACTGCTACCGACCGACGCATCTTCTGCATCAACTGCATATTCATTTTTACTTGACACAGCTACCATGCGATCATCTGCCAGAAATGTTCAGTAAGTTTCAGTGCAGAACATCATGTAATCCAAACTTGTAAGAACTAACATAGGGAAAGAATTAGTACTACACTTAAGACTGCAATAACAAGACTCAGTAATTTTAACATACGAAAATAACATGTTACTAATCCTTCTGTTTGTATTTAGACAACAGACTTGAAACATCATACACTATTCATCCCAGCTACGACCATATGAAAGTGTTCAAACACATCCATCAACCAAAACTAGACAAAACAACTGAGATGAACTTCCTCCATAGCTTACATTTTTCTTTTACTGTTATTACTAGGTGATTTCCCCGCGCGTTGCAGCGGGAATTTAAAGATTAATTCCAGATGAATTATATATGATGAAACTGATCTAAATCAAAAGCTGATATTTTTTTAATACAGAAATCTTTCATACTTGCACTGTATGTGAACAAAGAGTATGCATGTGGTTTGCATGGGGCTACAAAATAATGTTAGTGGATGCTTACATGGCACACTTGGTCGCACACTTAGTGAGATGGAGAGCCGCATGTTGAGAGAATTAGAGTTAATGGGGATTAACTATTTAGGAATAGCCCAAAAATAGAAGAATTGGTAGAACAAACCTGTTTCAAGATTGGAACAACTTGTTGCCGAAAAACATCCAGCAGGGAAACTTCGAACAAGCGACACTCAAGCTAGCCGAAGCTTATTCAGGTTATAATTTCTATTTACCGGTATTTTTGGACTTCCGGGGTCGAAATTACCGCCACGGTCCCTTTCATTTACACGAACGAGATCTATTGAGAGGGCTGTTTCTCTTTGCAAGAGAGGATGATTACAGGTTGCTATGTGGTTTGGAAGCTGGTACAAATACGTCCAGTAAAGTTTTATGTTCTGAACTGTCTGAATTTCAGCAACAAACTGAGACATTACTAGTACTACAACAGAAATAATAACCACCAACTTGTACAAAGCACACACAGGTTGAAAGTGAAAACCCAGAATTCTCACCTGAGATCGGACAGTGTTTCCCATCAGCAACGCTGGTTTGGTTGGAAACTGTCTGAGATGTAGAGTCAACTTCCTGCTCTGATTCAAAAACATTTGGTGCCTCCAAATGGTAACCAGAAGCAAGCTCAAATAAGTCATCACTCCTGGTGTCATCTATATTGAATGGATTCTTGGTAGAAGACACTTGATCCATTAGTAATGTGACATGCTCCTGACTTGTAGACACTTGATAATTTGTTGGAACCTCAGTGGCACTCTCTCTGTTGCAGATTTCCTCTTGTTGTTCAGGCCTCGCCTCACAGGAAGAATCCAACGCACTGCCCTTAACTAAAATGCCTTTACTGCAGTTGTCTTCAGCAATGGACTTGAGCATGCCATTCACATTAGTAACAGCCAGATCATTCTGATAACCAGGTACAGAGCATACTGAATTTACCAAGCAAGAGTTATCAACTGGCAGCTGAACACCTGAAGTACCTTGAGCAGACAAGTTCTGTGAAGAGCGCTCTGTGGAGTGATCAGTCGATGTATTTTCAGTATGAATTAGCTTCACCTCGTCTCCAGAATTAGATACTGTTTCAGATCCAATAGGATATGATTCTACAATTTCTTCTCTTGGCGATACTTCAGACATGCAATCCAGAACTTCCATACCATCTTTAAAGAAGCTGTCCACCTTCCTGGAACATGCAGATTGGGATTCTGGGTCGGACATAAGCGGAGAGCACTTCTGAAGAGATGAGGAATTCAAATCACCAATAAACTCACAACTGCCAGATGTTTTATCAGATTTGCTGTCAACCACAACATCTGTATTGTTGCTGTCAATTTCTGCTGAGCAGTCATCTGTACTCTGGAGGTTTAAGCCATCTTCACGCCCAACCAATCCAGGAGTTATATTCCCTACATAATATTCAGCTTCGTTTTCAACTTCAGATCCAGCAGGAAAATCAGCCATGCTTGATTCTCTTGAAAACTGATATTTGCATGTGTCATATCTTTCAAGAGAGCCTTTATCTATATTCTTGATTTCCATAGGAACATCTGACTCACGTGCTATTGCTGCACCATCTTCCGGATCTGATTGATGAAGAAAAGAAGATGCATCCTGGTACTCCTCAAGACAATCTTCTCGTTCAGTTGGGTGTGCAACTGCAAGCGGTCCAATTCCAGTGAAACTTTCAGACACTTTATGTTGAATTCCATTGGTGCTAGGCCTTTCTGAATCAGTTCCATTGCCTTCATCTGCAGTTTCAGAAGAATTATTGGGAATCAGGCCGGTTTCAATGTAGTCACTGGTGATGGCTTGAGGTCTAGCAGCATTAGTAGAAGCATGTTCTGTAAAAACAGTGAATCAATAGGTCAGCACACACACGCTGATATATGAATAAAAAGGTAGAATGATTAAATACAATGGCATGTGGGAATAGCCAGAAACAACTGAAAAAAAGGGCATGGCAGTATTTCTACTTGGAATAAACATTGGTCAAATTTCAAGGCATGTTTAACACAACACAATAAATGAGTATGAAAGAATAAAGGAAATTAGATGGGCAGAAGAAAGAGGTAAGATGGATTGTTGTAGTTAGCAGGAAAGGCAAAATCAAAGTCATACTGACAAGTCTAACTAGAGAGTAACACAGTCAAGACAACTAAAGATAATTGGTAGTGCAAAATGTAGCTGATGTTTGCAAACTTGAACAAACAGTAAAAATAAAACAGACGCTACAATTGGATGTTGTCTCCTAGGACCTACAGTTGTTAGTAATTTTTTAGTGGCGATGGTATCCGGCAATGATATGCAATGATGGACAAAGGGCACTGAATCCACAACTACACCTGAGATAAAAGTTAGAATACGAATGCAATGCCTCTCTTGCAGCTAAGTTTGTAAAGCAGTCAGAAGCAACTAACTGCAAAAACATGCCTGAAATGACATTGCTTGAAATGACATTGTTAATATAGGGGACAAAGCTAAAAAATGGGCTTTCAAATAAATAAATGGGCAAGCCTGAAAAAACACCTAACAGTAGCTGAATGTACCGTTGCAGAACCAAAATTATTAGAAACTTAACAGCATGGTGACTTCAGAACTGACAGGTACTAATACATGACAACAAGGACACAGGTGACAACAAGTACGTATTAATAAATTATGGCAACAAATGTCAACACCGAAATATGAGATCTTCCAAAGTAGATATAATTAACAACATGTGTGTACACAAGGATACGTTCAAAACTTTGGGAGATAGGCACATAACTAACGAGACTAAAATATTTCGCACACCCAACAGAACAAAACGCACATGTGACTAGGACAGCATGTGGTGGAAGACCACTACGAGCAAGCTAAGCAAAGGGAAACCAATGTAGAAACGACATGTTCCAAGATATCCTACCCAACAGCACGACTAACCAACGTCAGATATGTTGGATTTCGAGGACAAAATCCGGATAACCAAGACACAAACAAATCATTTCGCCCATTCCCGACTGTCAGACTCGAGAAAGAATCCAATGCATCAACGCACAGACTATTCTTATTTGCTGACAGCCACCAACTTGCCATAAGACACGGAACGATGATTAATCTAGGTAAGAGAAGGTGGAACCGTGTACTTGCGCCTCAGCGATTAGCGCGCCGGAATCCACTAATTTATTCAAGGCCGAAGATAGGTAACTCGAGCAAAGTTCAGATCTACAGTTCAAATTGCTCCACATCGTACTTGTCACCCAAAATAAATATTGCCCGAAGGCCCAAACCCAAGAGGAACAGCAAAGTGCCTGCGCTTTCAGCTTTAATGCTAAACCATGAAATGAATCAATCGGATTATTATTGCAGGCCCCCACGGAAGTACTACTATTTCCACTATTAACTCTTCAACGGGAGGGACTGAGGAAAAAGGCAACCAATCATTTTGCCTTTTGCAAACTCTAGAAAGGGAGAAGCAAAACAACAAAAGGAACAACATCAATATTGCGCATAACATAAGCAAGCTATGCAATTAACAGAAGAAGTTATGCAAATTAGTTATGCGTTTACACGAATCAGCAGTGTGATAGTGGACAAATTGAAATGGCCGGGTAAGCACTAAGCAGATTGACCAGTAGAGAGGAGCAGAGAGCACGCACCTGCGTTCTCCTTGTCCTCCGCCGATTCGACGCCTCCGTTCGCAGATCCGGGCGACGCAGAGCCTCCGCTCGCCGCGCCATTGCCGGGCTCCTCCCCGTCTCCTGGTCCTCCCGCAGCACCTGCAGCGCACACGCGGCGCATCAAAACCGGCGAGCCCAAAACCACGACCAAACCCCAAGCAGAACAAAACAAAATCAAAGCACCGCCGCGTCGCACGGCACGGGCCCGTACTGACGGTACGTACCAAGCACGAGGCGGCCCTCGCCCGCATTGCGCGGCCCGGCGTCCTCCTCCTCGGCGGCCGGCGTGACCTTGCGGCAGGAATTCCTGCGGTGGGAGCGGCGGAGCTTGGCGCTGGGGTTGGGGTTGGGGTACTGGTGCCCGCACACGTGGCAGAGGTGGCCCCCGCTCAGCGCCTCCCTCCCGCGCCTCGCCGCCTCGTCGCCCTCCATGGCCGCCTCGCCCGCCCGTCCGCTCGCTCGCTCGCTCGGCCGGCGGCAATGGCGGAGTCGTCGACGGCGACAAGCCCGGGGACGATGTGCAGATGGGAACGGACTCAACGGACCCTTGCTTCCTTTTTAGAGAGGACGAGACGAGACAAACGGCGGGGGTTTGGGTGGAGTTAAAAGGCTTTGGGCGGCACGGGCGGGGGCTTAGCCAGGCCGGGCCGGAGGCTGACGGGCGGGGCCGGTGGAGAGTGGGGCCGGGACGTCGGCGAGGGGGGTGGCCCGTGCGGTGGCGCCATCAATGCGGGCCATGTGCGCGGTGGACTCGGCGGGCGGGCTGGGTTTCGTTTCTAGGGCAGGGGTGGAGGGAAAAAGGAAAGGGCCGGGGTCGGGGTGGGCGAGCGTGCGGGGCGAGCGTGGGCGTGGCGCGGGATCCAGCCGTTGGGTGTAAGATGGACGGCTGAGATGATGGGGAGCGGGCGACGGGGAGGGAGGCCGTGCGTGCCGCTGGTGGAATGGCGCGTGTGGGGGCGGAAAGCGATGCGGGCTGCCTTTTTCCCTCGTTCTTTTTTTTTCCCTCGTTCTTTTTGTTCGCTGGGTAAAGGGTCGCTGCTGTGCTTTGCACGGTTACCCATGGATGGGGCTTGGATTGCCTTGATTAGACTAGCCAAAGTGGAACATACACTAGTACCATACACATATCCCTAGACTATATTACTATCTTCAGACTAGCCACAATGGATAGTAACATACACATATCCCTAGACTATATTACTACCTTCATAGTGGGTAGTAACTTAAAAATGGTAACATGCAAAGATTCATTTATTAGGTTATAGACTCATATTGCATTGGGACATGTGATGTTACAGTAACTAGCTAAGTTACTACTACTACCTCTCTCCTCATTAACTCATTGACACATAAGCAAATTTGCTGAGTTGGACTCGATGTTACTGCTGAAGTTACTCCCACTGTGGCTAGTCTCATAGTGGGTAGTAACATAAGTGTGGTAACATGCAAAGCTTTATTTATTAGGTTATAGACTCATATTGCATTGGGACATGTGATGTTACAGTAACTAACTAAGAGGGTGCTTGGATACGTTTTAGTCCCATGACTAAAAGTAGTGGGACTAAATTTGCTAGCCTCATCCATGCTTGGATCCAAATACTAAAGAGACTAAAATCAAGTTAATGAGCATTTATTATCCTCCAAACCCTCCAATCCAGAACTCGCATGTGTTAAAGGAGAGGAGTTAAATGAGGAGAGAGAGGACTAATTCATACTTTAGTAGGGGTACCCTTGACTAAAAATTTTTAGTCTCAAGACTAGTTTTAGCCTCTCTTTAGTCAGGGTTGCTTGAAACTTTAGCTTCTTAAAAAGACTATTTTTAGTCAGACTAAAATAAGTTCCTTGGATCCAAGCACCCTCTAAGTTACTGCAACTATCTCTTTCCTCATTAACTCATTGCCACACAAGCAAATTTAATGAGTTGGACTCGATATTATTGCTGAAGTTACTTCCATTGTGGCTAGTCTAAGCACAGTTGGTCCGGTACACCGAGCTACCAGTAGAGTGTAGGAGACTGTGTCTAGTGGGTCATTTGAGTTTTTATGGATAGATGTGCTCGCGTATTTTTGATAACGTTTATTCTCATGTGAAAACATGCACTTATGAATAACCTCAGTTGATGACGTATTATCAGTGTATATGCGGACTTTCTCCATCCTGGTATTTTGTGTTTTGGATCAAACTTTTACCATGAATTAAACTGGTAAAAATATTACCATTGAACCTTCTTTCGAATATGGACCTACGATTCAACTTTTGTAGCATAAACGTACATTTTGCTAGTCAGTTCTATGATCAAAAATCCTGACTGTACAACTATGGCGCTATACAGCTATGTTTTTTCGCATAAAATTCGTGCGTTGAATGTTTGAAATCCCTGGAACCAAAAATAGTTATCCGGCGCAAATTCTACCACGGTCACAGGCTACAGAACACGGAGGACAGACACGTGGCCCCTCTCGTCGACCCACGCACGCATGCGGGACCGACGGACCATCTCTTCCCCGTGATCTCGAATCTCGCCCCCTGCCCACTGGCACTGGGCCATCATGAACTAGTTCATGGCATTCTCCCTTTTCCTCCTTATCTTTCCAGAGGAAAACGGATCTGATATATGCTCAGCTCCATCATGGGCGTGCTGTGCTAGCTACACGTACGTACGCGGCTGTGCCTGCGTGCTCGTGCCGCACTGCACGTACGGCTGTTCGCGCTGGAAAAGGCAAGTGCCCATTTCAACCTAGCTCATCTCGTCATTATCCTCCCATAAACAAACGATAATTACCGAACGTGAGATACGGGCACATGACAACTTCAAACGTTTTCGACACAAACTTTAGTAACGGAAGAATAGTAAGTTAGTTGACAAGCACGTCAATTTTATGTCAAAAATAAACCGAAGCACGAAAGTTGTCATCGTCGCGTCGCTGTCAAAAATGTTCGGAGTCATTATGTGTTCATACCAAATGTTCAACACTTATCAAATTCCAAAAACGAAAAGCTCATCTCATCATCGTCCCCGCTCGGATCGCTGGGTAGCCACAAGGTGGGCTGCATAGGCCCAATTTTGGAATATCGAATATGAGTGTGGTCATGTCCGCCATCGTCTATACTCTTTAGGTGTGATGACAGGACCGTTAAAGGTCCTTTTTTTGTGAGGTAATAAGGAGTTAACGTGACTAATAAAGCAGAGGAAAAGGTGGCGAGCGAGAAGGATTCCCTTGGAGGATGAG